TTTTGTGAGTATTAACCAAAGAAGGGGTGGCAGCCACCATGGAACTACTGCGGGGTCGCGGTAAGGGGGGTATCAGGGGCTCAGGGGGCCGTTCAGGCTTCTCCTGCAGTATCTGACGCAGTCGTTGCAGGTAGTATATGAGGGCCCAGTGCACACCTTCTTCTGTCCAGTGAGGCTGCATCAAGCAACGCAGCACTGCAACATCAAAATAGGTGGCATATCTTGCTCGCTGTGATACAGAGATGCCAACAGGGACTGAGAAACTTTCAGTGAAAGAAAGAGAGAGAGATATTTGTTACAAAAAATGATGGTCAGAAAGAATGGATGTTCAGACTGAGTTTGCTCAGAATCGTTGCTTGGCAACTGCACTGCGAACACATGCACAGACTAACACTGTGACAGATGGGAGTCTGACGGGAACTGGACACTATTTCTCTAGCCAACACTGGATGAGTTTAAAGAAAAACATCTTTAAAGTCATTCTAGCTTTAAAAGACTGTAATAGATACATTTTTGCCAACACTTTACAATAAGGTTCAATTTGTTAACATTAGTTAATATGTTATAATATTGTTGTAATAATGAACTAACAATGAACAACAATTTTTACAGCATTTATTAATTCATGTTCACTACTAATGTTCATTTATAGAAATATATGTTAAAAATGTATTTGCATATATAGAAATTAATATTAACTAAAAAAAATTATTGCTGTAAAAGTATTTTTCATTATTATTTTATGATAGCTACTGCATTAACTAATAAATAAACATATGGAACCTTATTATAAAATTGTACAATTTATGTCAGAGTGAAACAACCAAGTCTTACTATGATATTTTTTGTAAATACTTAAAATGTTTATTTATCCCCCCCCCTCAATTTCAATACAGAATGATACAGTCCTGCTAGACGCACCACCTGTATGTGCAAACACTCACTTCTTTGGTTGTGAAAATCCTTTCTCAAAGGCCTGCTGTGAGGACCCTCCCTTCTCTACAGAGTTGCCACGGCGACAGCTCTGACCTGTCGCTGAGGGGGAGGAGGAGTCTGGCCTGACTGATTCACAAACCACCTGAAAGCCGAGATAGAAGAGGAAATCACATGACCCCAGCTGAACAATGATGTTAATGCACTACGAGAGGAAATTAATTTATATACGCCAGGACTAAATGAGCCACAAGGGGCTGTGCAGCTGCAAATCACAGTCTGAATACTCACTGCAGGGCATGGGTTGCTGGTATCATGAGGACTACACTGGTTATTCACTAGAGAATTCCTCTTTGCTGTGTAGAATATAACAGAGACAGCAGATGTGAAAAACATGAACGATTTACACACATAAAGAACAATGAGCAAAGATGGAATTGTATATTGAGTTTAACGCTGGTAAAACAGACCAAAAATAATATTGTTGTTCAGAACAGAGGCAATAGAAGAACCGTAAAAAATAGGTGAATTTACAGAAATCTGACCTGTAATAATGTTACGCATGGGTTTGACAAGGGCAGAAAAAGCAGGAACATCAGGATGACGGTGCTCCCACATTGGCTGCCAAATAACAAGTCCACCAGCTAGTCGAAAGGTGAGGTCAGACTCCTGCCAAATGCAAAATCATCAATAATTTTAAAAAATATATTTATTTATTTTTGCAGTTTAAGCAAATTAATCAATTATTGATTGCAAAATAAAAAAGCACATGCACAGCCATAACAATTTTGAACTGATAAAGTAGGGCTCAACAATAAGAATTTCAAGATTTTACTCAAATTTTCATCGGCCCCACCACAAAAAAGTATTTATTTTTATTTTTATATTTGCTAGAAATATTTATATTTTTCAGTAATTGTTAGGTTTCATTTTCATCACTAAAATGTTTAAATGATTAAATAATTATAATAAAATAATAATATAATTATTATAATAAAACAATAATAATTAGAATGTTTTATTTTAATTTATGTAAAAATAAAATGTACAACAAGCTGGATATTATACAGCTGTAATGAAACTCCATAAATTCATTAACACGCTTCTGCTATAACCTCATCTATGTTTGTCAGCTAGATAAGATTATCTAGTGAAAAATCAGAAGAATTTACAACAACAATGTAGAATAGATCGTGGAGAACTAAGGCATTAAAATGAATACAATGATGTAAAATTTTCAGTGGTAATGCAGCAACTTCCATGAGCTCTCTCACACTGGCCTTGGGGCAGCAGGACATCTGTATTGTTGAGCGCTGCAGAGAAAAATAATAATAATACCAACAGTAAAAGTTCCAACCTTGATCCGGTTAATGAGGGGGGCAAAGAGAAACACAAAGAGCTCCACAGTGGCCATGTTCTTATGGTAGAGTTTGGCACGGGCATATTCATTCTCTTCAGTTGTGCTGCCATTGCGGTCTGTGAGACCCTGGTTCCCCATGGGCTGAAGGTAGGCACTACTGCTACCACTGCTACCCCCAGACCAGCCCTGTCCCAAGCCAGGCTCCTGGTGGCACTCCTGGGCCGCCTCCAGAAGCATCCAATGTAGAGTGTGAAGGAGTTTCGTTTCAGCTACCCCAAGTTTATCCTGGTGTCCTGGTGAAGAGATTGTGGACATGCTAAGCAATAAAATTAACCACTAAATCTATTTACCCAAACACACGGTGCACAAATTACAATCTAGCATTTGCAGTTTAATAAGGGTTCCTACCCAGCTTGTTGCGGTTCGAGAGAAGGATGGCAGTGCAGTGAAGAACATGAGGCAGAGCAGCCTGGACCAGCTCCCAGCGAGAGATGCTCTGGATGGCTTCAGTGAGGGCTGGAGAGAGCCCGTGGAGTTTGTTCTCCACCAGCACCCGCTCAAATGACTAGGCAGGATAAAAGGGTGAGACATATCCTCAAGAACACTTATCAAATGATTTCTTCCTCTTGTTACAGTGCTATTTGTACACAAGAAAGGAAACATGATATAATAGCACGACTGTCAGTCATATGACACAATAATAATAATAATAATAATGATAATAAATTATTACTGTTACTATTATGTATTTTTTATTATGTACAGAATTGTATGCAAATCGTTTTTTATTTCTTACTGGCAAAAACTCTGTGGCTGTCAATAGAACAAAATATTCACAAAAAAAAAACAAAAAACAGTTTTTAATTTTAACAGTAAAATAAAAGTGCTCAAGTAAAAACCTGTTAATTGATTAATGTTCTATTATATATGGTGAAAAACTGTAATAAATCTAACAGAACATTTAAAAGGTAATATCATGTCACATTTACAGTTTTTTAAATGAAAAAGTAGTCATCTTATAATTTACAGTGGAAAAAAAATGTAAATTGAAATTCCCAGAATTCCCTGTGTAACACTTCATTGAAATAATTTGTTTGTTCTTGTTCTTTCTTATCAGTTATGTACATTAAGGTTTTATGTCACATCTTATGTTGTTAAATTAATGTTTATTGAATTATTTTAGTGTCATGTGTGTTAGTTACCATTATGGCGTTTTGTATTTGTGTGCACAATATTAACGTTATTATATGATTAGCTATTACACCAGATAGATTAGACTGAATCCACATGGTTTGGAGGTTGGGTATATCTATCCAACATCAACAATTTATATTTAATTTTGGAATGGACATGCCAACAATGGCATTACAGTTCTATCACAATAAAGAAGTTGTATATTTCTTTAAAAAGGCCATGTGCTACAAAGTATTAAATGAGAAACTTGAAGCAAATGTTACAAAATTAGCTCGAAATACAGATCGTCTCTACATTTTTAAATTTTTCTTTCATTCACAGTGCTGGATAACACCACATTTCCAAAATGCAGTGTAGTAACAATATCTGTAGCAAACATTTTTAATGCAAACTATGGTTACCATACCATATGTATAATTCATTTATGCAAGAACAAAAGTGTAATAAACAACACAACTACACTGTACGTGCATGGTCATTGTAATTACACTGCAACAAAAAATGTGTAAAAAATGTGATCCTTTCATATAACAAAAATTAATTTAAACTCTCTTCTGGAGTTTATGGCTGCTACAGTAGCCATAAACATAAATGTATGGCTACTGTAGCATAAATTGAGGTACATAAGAGTAAACCAGTATCATCTCAGTTCTTCTTTAATAACACATCAGACAAGAATACAAGTTAATGTTCATACTCTAAAAGCATAAACAAATGTGATATATTCAGTTTCATCAATCTGGGAAGAAAAAAAAAGTTTTATATGTTTTATTATATTCTGTTTTCCCACATACACATCTTGATCAGATGTCAAATCTTTTCTCAACACATTTATAGAATAGTTATGGTCTTATTAATTCAGATTTTCCATGTGAATTTCAGGCCAACTGAATGGAATAATTCAATATAAATTCATAGTCTATTCCTAACAAGCCCAAATAAAACATAGGCCTATATATAATTTTTATAATTATATTGCATAATTCACATGCATCTATTTTACTGTGATTTTTTTTGTCTGCCTGCCCTATTATAATAATATTGTCACAATGCCTACATTTGCACAATATTTGATGGAGTATTTCACATTAATGACATGTGATGTCAGATGTGCTTTATGTAGTTTGCAACATCATCAGATGACAGTGGACTTCTTGCTCCAGGTAGGTGGGTCATCTTACCCCAGTAACGGAACAAGAGGATTTTACATTTTGTGATTTAACAACTAGATTATCAAATGTTTCCATTTAATTTATCAAAATATATTTAAATATATTTGATGATGCATCCTCCTGTACATGCTAAACCCATTTACAAATGTGCCTGTTTCTATTTTGCAGTAAATGCATCTTCTGTAATCTTCCTATACATTACGGAAAAGTGGTCAGTTACAGTACATAACTCCTGGTTGATTCTTGATTAAAAAAATAAAAATAAATAAATAATCAAACATAGAATACACTGTCATTTCAGCATTGAAGGCAAGAATTTAGTTCCAAAACACAACGAAAAATAATTTCAAAAACACTTTATTATATCATATGAATGCAGTGGAATGAATATGTATTGAACTCATCAAATGGTAGCAGCAAGTTAGTTACTTTTAAGGAATTGAAAAATTTATTTTTGTAAGCTTTTAGTTATGTTTTGTGGCATTTAAACAAATGAGGGAAACTAAAATCATACAGAATTAATTTAGTGAGTTTATGTTTATTAATCTCTATATTTTTAAAATGTAAGGGTGTTTACGTTTGCAAATTACAACTTAATTCTACAAATTCAAGTAGTTATAAAAAAACTGAACTGATAGCAACTTTTTTTAATTGGAGTAGGGATTTAATAAAATCTAGTCATTCAGGGTATTATTGGAATCATATTACTCTTTATACTACTGAAAAAAAAAAAATAGCACACACATTTGAAGTCTCTTAAATCAGCCATCCTCCCTGAGCAGTCTCTCACAAACATAAAAACACAATCTCCGGGCCACATTCGCATGCTAAGGACTGTAAATTATAGGGATCTGTGTGTCCAAGACACCACAGTAAAAGAACCTTCGGTTATCTGAGACGAGCAAGATTAAATATGTCCAAAAAACTTCGGCGACCCCAGGCGAGGTTGTTTTTATTATAGGATTTTATGTTCAGACCAACATGGTCTTACGTGCTGTCTGACACTGGACGCTTGTGAGATCTGAATGCAGTGACTGGGTTGGCCTTCATACTAGGACATACTGAGGTCTCATGTACGTCTCGTCTTTGGCCTTTTTGATTGGCGCTTGGCTTCATCCACAGGGAGTCCATCCGCGCTTGTCTGAGCAAGTCCTCGAACACCCTGGATCTGACTGACCAGCTGCAGAAGAAGTGGGATCACCTGGGAAAGACACAATATCATTAATGTCTTAAGAACCGCAGCTATTGTAAATGTCAAGAATCTCTAAGTGGCTTTCAACTATTTTCAAAGAAAAAACAATAGGTACCCGCTCATGATTATAGACAGCAAGCAACAGCAGTAATGTCAGAGGAAGGGCGATGAAAGATCCCTGGGCAACATCTTGATCTGGTATTTTCCTCTGTGGAAAGCCGAACAAATTCATTCAAATTAAATCCCAGAGCTTGGGCTTTAAAAGACAATAATTAATAATATTTTCAATGTATTCAGCTGCACTGACACTATTGATTGCGAACAAGATTTGAACTAAATTGAGCTGCATAAAGATACTGTTACCTTCTGTATAGCTGAATTAAACTTGTTTCATAATTTATGAACTTTGCAACACTGGCACTGTTATCGAACCGAATCAACACTGAACTGAATGATGACACCATTGTCTTCCGAGTTGCTTTACAGTTGTTAAATGATGAATTCTGCAACATTAACACTGTTATTTTCCTGTTTGCTACTGCGCAACCGCTTTGTCACAATCTGTATTGTATAAAGAGCTATATAAATACATGTGAATTGTCTTGAGAATATCATAACTTAATTTTATATCAAAGTCATACTCATGAACGGCTTTCTGAATGCAGAATTTAGATCCTTCTCACACCAAATGCCAAACAAACGCCGATGAATGATCTATTCAAACAAATCTTACTGGTCAGCACAATTTGATCACTGGACAAAGAAAAAAATAATAATGTATGTTTTGTGTGAAAAGGTTCTTACCTTAGGGTTAAAGGTTAGTGTTACATGTTTGTGGTAACCAGAAGACGTGAACGAGACTTGTGGGAGTTTGAAGTCATACTGGGATTGAGAAAGTGATGTGTGCAGAATCAACACATAGCTCTGCAAGAAGACAATACAATTGAATAAATGAAAATGTCTGACCACCCATTTTTAAGATGTACTTAAAAATCAAAGTACTGGCAGATTAATATGAATACTGTAAAACAGATTATAAAAATAGGAGTTGTTTAGAGGAAAAGAGGTGATTAATATGGGTCTACCTCTCCATCACGTGGCAGGGGGGCAAAGTGGAAGAACATGGACTGGCCAAGAGACACACTCTGAATGGGATTGTCAAGGTTGTCACTCTTGCAGAGCTTCACCTTTAGAGAAGGAGGAACAATGACTTCAATATTTCATCAAATATGAGAAACCATTTTAAAGGAGTATATAAGTTACTGCACCTACCCAGAGAGTGGGAAGATGCTCAGAGGAAGTGATGACATTGCCACTCAGATCAAACTGATTGATCTGTCTGAAGGCGATTATGTTTATTCCTTCAATATCAGTGTTGCCCACCTAAAACCATCCAAAAATAAATACATGAATAGAAACTTCAAATAAAATGTGTAAAAAAAACAATAAGGCAAATAAAACTTCAATGCTCACCTTGATGGTTTTGTGTGGCGGTAATGCTCTCTCAATGTGATCATTTCCCTCTCCTCTCAGCTGAATGTTGTAGTTACACTCAGGCTGACATTGATCATGAAGGAAAGACAAGCTTTGTTTAGGATCTTAAACCGTATGTTCTTGTGAACTTTTCATATTGTTTGTCTAAGAGTTTTCTCTTGTGAAGTCTCACCCGCAAGCCTCTGAGTCTAAAGCGGCCCTCTTCGTCAGTAACCGTGTCCTCACTGTACATGCCGCACTCTCCCTGCCCCACTGCCTCCACAGCGACACCCTGCTCCGCATCGCCTCCTATTGACTGCACTGTTCCATAGCAGCTGAGACACATCAAAATGCACAAACAGAAAATTTACCCCACAATGGACAGGGCATGTTTTGAAAATTTCCAATGCGTACACAGATTTATCTTTTTAAAATAAATTGTTCGAAAGTGAATTATAAAGACATTTATAATGTTACAATATATATATATATATATATTTCAAATATAAATGCTATATATATATATATATATATATAAATAAATATTTCAAATGAATGCTGTTTTTTAAACTTTCTATTTAATAAAAAAAATTAAAAAAAATCCTGAAAAAAAATGTATCACGTTTTCTACAAATATTTTAAGCAGCACAACTGTTATCAATATTGATAAGAAGAATAAATGTTACTTGAGCACCAAATTAGCATATTAGAATGTAGGCCTGGGCGATAAAACGGTATCGATATTTATCAACGGTACACGACAGCACACACAAACACGAACACATGCTGAATTGAGTGCCGTGCCTGCTTGTGATGAGGAGATTGTGAATAAAAAAAAATGAATATTAGTCGAATTTAAAATAAACATTTGCATTTGAATGTTAGGAGTGCGTCAGGGAGCGTCATCAGTGGCACACGAGATGCTGTGATAATGATGTAAGTGGCATTTTAATGTTTTGTTAGTCTAGCCCATGAGATGCGCCGCTGCTGTGTTATGCATTCAAAATATTAGAGAAATATAGAAGCTCAATGCGGATTTGTTGTTTGTCTCAATAAATTGGGTTAATTTAAAAATACAGTGGTTAAATTTAAAAAATTTTTCTATTGCTCTGTTTTAAAAAAGGTTATAAAAATGTCAGTAATTATCGATACTGAATAATATGAAACATTATATCGTTGATACATTTTTTAGCTATATCGCCCAGCCCTATTAGAATGATTCCTGAAGGATTACATGACACTGAAGACTAGAGTAATGGTTGATAAATTCAGCTCTGCCATAAATTACATAAATATATTAAAATAGAAAATGTATTTAAATTGTAATAATATTTCAAAATATTACTGTTTTACTGTATTTTTGATCAATTAAATTCAGCTTTTGTGTACTAAGGGACTTCTTTAAAAACAAAATCTTACCGGCACTAAACCTTTCAACGGTAGTGTACATACGCATATATTACCTAACATTTATACTATGCATTTTAACTGGCAGCGCATATTCTAACATGCTGTGTGTTGCTGACCTGTAAGCGGTTTTGAAGCCAGTTATGGTAATATGGAGAACCTGTCCTTCTTCTACTGTGATCATTTGTGCTGAGGGCTCAAAGCGGAACTCCTTCATCATGGGCTTGAAATAGTACTGGCCAGGACTCTGAGATGGAGGGAGGAGGAATTAAGACAATCTCTAGGTATTTTATTATATGGACAGGAAATATTAAAACGTTTTCAAAAAAATCTTCTTTCATGTCCCACAGAACAATGTCAAACAGATTTGGAACAACGTGAGGTAGAGTAAAAGATGACCATTTTTATGTAAGATAAGCTATACCTTTAAGATTGTACAATTAAACAAATGTGCTTAACACGTCAAAAAGATGACCATAGTAACTATGGGCCTGAGAAGACAGTACCAGGTTGTTGAAGGTGAGGAGGCCAGTGTCCTGAGTGAGCATGTTTGAGCGGAAGTTGGCCCCACTGAGAGACAACAGAACCCCAGAGAGAGGAACACCATCCTCTGCCTTTATCTGAGAGGCAAGAAAAAAAATCTTAAACCAAATGAACCATTTTAGTCCTAGAAATGAAAATGAAATGTGATAGTTCAACTTGGATGACGAGAAGACATTAATGTGACATTGACCTCAAAAGTGACGCCTGCCAGGGCAAATGCCTTGAAGTCTCCTGTGTTTCCCTCCACTGGAGTCAGGACAAAGCCCTCTTTACTGGCACTGATGTCATACAGAGAGTCACTATGTAGGGGTCCAACACTGGTTTTAAAAAGGAATATTAATTTTATTTGTTTAGAATGCTAGAGAGCATTTAAGATTTCAGCCATAACGACTGCATTTTACTCCTAAATAGGCCAACAGTCATTCATGCTGGCATATTTATAAACCTTGCTTTTAAGCTAATATGCATTATTAAATACATAGATAAGAGAGCTATTAAATAAATGAATGCAGTCTGTTTGTGAATAAATGAGATAACCTGTAGGTTCCGGTTTCATCCGTGAGAACTGTAATGAGAGGGGTTGTAGCTCCTCTCTCCTTAATGGAGATTTCCACACCCTCCAGGGTAGGCGACACCTGCCCTGTGAGGAACAGCCCTGCCCGGCCCGCAATCTCCACCATTTGACCTGGGCAGTTCTCTGTTAGAACAAATCGTTGTATATCAGATTTCAATATAAACTGGGGTAAAACTGTGTGCTTATAATTAAGATTATAGATTAAAATAATATCATAAGAAATACCAGTTGGCAATATCAAGCAGCATAACAAGCTGGAAGCCTGGCACATTCAAGTTTCAAATGGCAGCGCCTGCTCTTATGTTAAAAATAAGGTGGAAACTTTGCCTGGGTCTACATCAGGTGTGTCCAGTTCTCTTCTTTCTGGAGGGCCACTTTCTAAGTTCTAAACGTATCCTGATCCAGCTAATTGAAGGTTTGTGGCTTTGCGTTGTTTCACACTCTTTGAAGAGTTAAATTGATAATTTATTCATTTGCTTTATAGAGCTGTTTCTGATTGGTATTCAGCAGACTAGCTAAAAAATAATATACTGTCAGAAAAAAAATTAGGTAAGTTATCCTTAAGCTAGTTATGTGACTTTTAGGGCTAGATAAGGTACAAAGTTATTCCAATAAGGCTACTTGACCCAGTGACAAGGTGTTGTACCCCTAAAGGTATATATATATATTTTTTAATATATATATTTATATTTATATGTTTTTTTCTATTGATATGAATCAACTGCGTGAATTTGGTTGTCGGTAAGTGTCATCTTATTTGTTTATGTGGATTTCCTTTTGATATAGCTTGATAAATATCAGTTTTGTTCTTTGTATGAATAGATGTTGTCTGCAATTTGTTCCATATTTGTTGTGAAAGGACACAACACGCATCCATTAGTATAAAATAAAAAGCCTAAAAAAGGTTGCACTCTAACCTCCAGTGATTGTAGCCTCTACTTCAGGAGGGTAAAACAGAAATTCTTTGGATGAAGGTGTGACTGTGATCCTCTCCCCAGCCCTGAAATAGCCAACACAGCCAAGATATAAAATTAAGACCATGAATTTAGTGACTGGTAGGAAGAGACAATGTGATACATGTTCTTTGCACATGATTTAACAATATTTTTTCTAACACAGACAGAAGAGGAAAATGCTTGCAAACATTCTCCAAAGATCCTACCGTGCCCAGTAGGAGAATTCATAGTGGAAAGGCTCATGGAGTTCATCTGGTTTCTCTTCCACAGGGGGGCTGTTCTCGTCTCCTCTTTCTTCCCTCTCCTTCTTACGGGCAGCTATTTCCAGAAGCTGCTGCTCCCATCGCTGCTCCTCATTTGAACGCAGGGGCCCCAGAACCAAAGCAGGCTCACTCTCAATGGAAGATCTGTCAAAATGATACAAATACCACCAGGTGTATGGAAGGCAACAGCCAGAACTCAAAACAAACAAGATATGCATTACTCTTTTAGAAACCCATTATAATGCTTCCCCTTACTCACTTGATGGTGACAGTGACATCCAGCATCTTATCAGTGGTAATGAGTCCCGTCATGTGGTGTCTAACAGCAGTCAGGGTTAAAATGCTTGGGGCAGACCTAAAGAATAAGGGCAAAAAAAATTAACTCCTTTTCATTCAACAATGTTACACAACAACATGCAAGTGCTGCAAAAGCACCAGATCAAAAGGTAGAAAGCTGTGGCAGCTACTTTGATTTTAATAAAATGCTTGGCACCGGCAGTTACATACGTGTTGTAGGTGTAGTAATCTTGTTCAAACTGGTGACAGGAACGTGGAGTCACTTTATAAAGACCTTAGATTAAAAAGAAATATGTTTAAGCACTTCAGGCTTTATGGACTTAATGAACTTACAAAACAGAAAAGGCTGAGCTCACCTGGCTTGGACAGACAGAAGCGATTGACTCCTTTGGACAGATTGTAAATGCCAACGTTCTCTGGTGAGCTGCCATCTTGGAAAAATTCCTAAAATTTTGGTCAAATATGCCATCATCAGCATTACTATTTTAGGCTTGTAACAGCTGATTTTGGCAACTATGTGTTTGGTCATCTTTAAATATTGAATGTTTTCAGGCCTCACCAGAGTAATGGCATGGGACAGTGAGCAGCGCAGCAAATATCCGGTTTGTCTGAACTCCACTCCCTCCACGTATGAGTCAAGTACATCGATCTCCACTGACTTTTGCTTCCAGCACCATTCTTCTTGGGTGATAGACACTGTGATAACCAGAGGTTGTTAATTTTTTTTCTTAATCTGAATGTCTATACTGCTGAAAGCCACAATTTAGCCCAAAAATCATAATACACTTAGTTTACTATATATTGCAATTTATTAAACTTTCAACGTTATAATAAACAAATCACATTAAATACAATATGTAAAAACCAACATTATTTATCATTTTGCTATTTTTGCAGTTACAAATAATTAAAAGATATTATTGTTCTTTAAAATTAAAATTAAATAATCATGATTATAATAATATCCTATCTTATGTTACTATACAATAGTAATATTACAATAGCAAAGTATTCCGATTCTTAAAGGGATAGTTCACTCAAAAATGAAAATTACCCCATGATTTACTTACCCTCAAGCCATCCTAGGTGTATATGACTTTCTTCTTTCAGACGAATACAATTGGAGTTTTATTAAAAAATGTCCTGGGTCTTCCAAGCTTTATAATGGCAGTGAATGGTGGTTGAGATTTCGAAGCAAAATAAAGTGCATCCATCCATCATAAAAAGTACTCTACACCGCTCTGGGGGGTTAATAAAGGCTTTCTGAAGTGAATCGATGCGTTTGTCCATATTTAAAACTTTATAAACCATAATCTCTAGCTTCCACTAACTGTCGTATGCGCGATTACGAGAGAGCCGAGTTCCAGCGGATGATGTAGGCATAGCGTAAGCTCTGATGAGAAGTGACGAATGCGGAAGCGCAGAGGAGAGAGCAAAACAAAAAAAAGGTCACGAATTAGAAGTACAAAACGAGGATTTGTAAAGAAAAATTTCGGAGGATTTCGATATAAGCCAAGAGGAGACTGGTTTTCCTTTGCTGTAAACAAAACGTGGTTCTCGCGAGACTAGCATATTCTCACCGGAGCTTACGCTACACCTATGTCCTACGCCATCCGCTGGAACGCCACTCTCTCGTGAACATGCATATGACAGTTAGTGGAAGCTAGAGATTACGGTTTATAAAGTTTTAAAGGGGTCATATGATGTGATTTCAATTTTTCCTTTCTCTTTGGAGTGTTACAAGCTTCTTGGTGCATAAAGAAGATCTGTAAAGTTGCAAAGACTAAAGTCTCAAATCCAAAGAGATATTCCTTATAAAAGTTGAGAGTCAGCCACACCTATCTAAAACAGCTCGTTCTAACACGCCCCCACATATCTACGTCACTATCTGGGAAGATTTGCATAACGCCGCCCAAATGTTCACGCAAAGAAAGAAGCCGTAACTTTTATTCTCGCTGTAGTATTGTCGCCGCCGCCATGTCGTGAAGGCGCTGTGTGCTTCATTGTGAAAGCGAAACTACTTTGTTTGGCCTTCCAAAAGAGGACGATATCGCTTCGTCATGCCTGGAGCTGATCCGTGCTGGTCGCTGAGGAAATACTTCAACTTCGCGCTGTGGATCGCCGGATCGGCTTTCACCGTGGACGAAGCGGAGGCCAGCTCGGGGTCGTCCTATGGGGGTGCCGCAGGCATCACAATATGGTAAGGGACGTAACATTTCCGTCACACGCTTGAGGAATTCGGCCAATCACAACGCACTGGATAGCTGGCCAATCAGAGCACACCTCGCTTTTTCAGACCGATGAGCTTTGTAAAAATCGACGCGTTTCAGAAAGACGGGGCTTAGAAGAGAAACAATAATGTACAGTATGTGGAAAATAATGTGTTTTTTGAACCGTAAACCGCATAAACACATTTCATTAAACCAAATACACAAAATAATGTTCTTTTTAGCAGCATCATATGACCCCTTTAATTATGGGCATTTTTCTTACACAAACGCATCGATTCTCTTCAGAAGGCCTTTATTAACCCCCAGGGCTGTGTGGAGCACTTTTTATGATGGATGGATGCACTTTATTGGACTTCAAAATCTCAATACCCATTCACTGCCATTATAAAGCTTGGAGGAACCAGGATTTTTTTTTTTTTACTCCAATTGTATTCGTTTGAAAGAAGAAAGTCATATATCCCTAGGATGGCTTGAGGGTGAGTAAATCATGGGGTAATATTCATTTTTGGGTGAACTATCACTTTAACGTTCTCACTTTTTCTATTTTGATTAATTGCATAATGTTTAGCTGTTTAGAACCTACCCAAGGTCATCTATTATAATACATCATAGATTTATAGATGGGTTAAATCTGAGAAAATTAAATAAATAAATAAATTAATTAATTACACACACACACACACACACCAACAACAACAACTCCAAAACAAATGCTGACTATTTTAACTATCATTCAAAGGTTTGGGGTTGGTAAGATCTTTTTTTCAGTCTTCAGTGTCACATGCTCCTTCAGAAATCATTCTAATATGCTGAAAAGGTGCTCAAGAAAAATTTTGTATTATTATCACAGTTAAAAATTATTGTACTGCTTAATATTTTTGTGGAAACCTTGATACTTTTTTTCAGGATTCTTTGATGAATAAAAAGTTAAAAATGAACAGTATTTATTTTAATTAGAAATTTTTACATTTTGCAAGAATCTAAACGTCTTTAGTGTCACTTTTTTATCAATTTAATTCATGCTTGCTGAATAAAAATATAAATTTGACTGCAAACTTTTGAATGGTATTGTACGTATTTAATACCATAATGATAACCATCTCTATTGCTCATTAAAATCAAAACATGCCAAAACAGTGCTTACCTTTGTACTTCCCGGGTAACACATTATTGAAAGTAAAGCTGAGAGTTTCACTGCTGCCAGACAACTGGAGGTTCTGCCTCTCTCCCTGTCTGCTCACAGGCTGAAGAGTGACTGTCAGATCTCCACATGCCACTGATGGGACAATTCAATCACTTGAGCCAAAGACCGAAAACACATTTATCTAATTGAATTTGACAGCGGACATGAAAAACCAGCTCACCAAGACAGGACACGGAGCCAGAAACAGATGCTATGAACTGAGTGAAGAGAAGGTCAGTGATAGGACGATCCACAAGTGAGATATCGAGAGAGTATGGCTGAAGAGTAAGCCCAGCCTTCACATCACTTTCAGGGAGGGTCACCTGTACAGCACACAACAATCTAAATTAACATGCAATTACGCTAACTTTAAAGTCATGTGGCGTCACAACATAAATTCTCATTACCTGTACACTGTAGTCTCCTGGTTTAACTTGAAAGCAGAACGCTCCATGACTGTCACTTTCGACAGTGCGGAAAAAGCCCTGATCCTGTCTCTGAGTCGAGAGTGTAACTTTGTAGTGCCCAAGCTGTTTAACCGTCTCAGGAAGATGGGTGACTGAGATGTGACCACACACGCTAAACCTGAAAATGACAAAGTGGGGCAGAGATTTCAAATCGGACCCCTAAAGATAGAGGGCCGAGACCTAAAGTCTTTTAGGTCTCAGCTTTCTGAGGATGATTCTTGCCTGGATACTCACCCTGCAGTGATGATGTCTGGCAGCTGAGGGGTGCTGGGAGCAATCTTCACAGTGACTGGCTCAAAGAACATCAGCTCCTTGTGCGTGTTGATGGTATAAGTGCCTGTGGTCATATTCTCCAAACGAAATGAACCATCTTCTTTAGTCTCCACTGTGAAAGAGATCAAGGATTAAATGCAATGTGTTAATTTACCATAAATTTGTTAATTAAGCGTGAATTGTGGAGTACTTAGGATATACCCTAATATGCCTAATTATGTTAATTTCACTGATGTGTATCATCACAGTTACCTTTCATTAGGTTGTTAAGCGTTACTACAGCATCTGCAACACCCTCTCCATTGGGGCTATTCAGAACTCTGCCCATCACAGAGAATCCCATGACCCGGAATATTGGCTGAGAGACAAAATAGGAAAAACCGGTTAGAAACCAGATTAGGCTGCTGAGAAAGACTGACCGTTTTATACATTATTTAATTATTATTTTTTCCTAATAATGATTTAATGTCCATTTGAACACATTACGTAAAAATTATTATAATAGTGTCCAACCCAAATTGTCAATTAAGGTGTTCATTTATGTCTTCAAATCTGTGAGAACAAGTCAGAGAAATGAGAAACTCACCTCCAACGTTAAACTGCTGTGTTCTACTTTGAAATCCATACGAGAAGGAGCAACGTCAAAAGTGATTCTCTCTCCTCTGTAATATGGGACCTACAATTCAAGAAGAGACAAGTTAAAAAAAGACTGGCATCTGTGCTTTATCTTTACATCATAAATAAGGCTGCATGAGATGGATGAAATTATATTCAAATTATTTAAATTTTAAGTCGAACCAGAAAGTACTAAGATACTGATCAAAAGTCTTAGGCACATTAGATTTTTCACCAGAAAATATTTATATTTTTTGCTTTAATGTACCATAAGGAAATATCAGTTTACATGTACCCCCAAAAATTTGCCATTAATTGGAATAATCCAGTAGGAATTTGTATGCACGACAGGCCATATGATCCACACAAAGATCTGATCTAACCATCATTTCGTCATATTGCAGTGTGCCAAAAGAGCAGCATTAGGGATGTAACGATTACTGGTTTGACGATAAATCATGATAAAATTCCCCACGGTTAGTATTACCGTTTCATCTTTTAATTATCATTAAAACCGTGTTAGATTACCGCGATTTGAACAACTCGCGATAAATAAATACTGTCCAGCATAAAGCAGTTTTAAGTATAACAGTCTCACGTGCGCACAGCACGCAGAGTAGTTTAGTTTTGAGTGAAAACAGGGCGGAAAAGCTGGGAGGATTTAAAACTTATGTGGATTCTACACATTTAAACAATTCAGTAAGTAAATAAGTTATCTAGAATTATTTATGGAGCAGATAAAATGCATATAATCATTTATTAATCAATTATCATTTTGACTTATATCTTTTCTTTATTTAAAGGCTGAAATGTGAGGTTTACCTTTTTATTAAACTTTTTCTAAGCTTTATTTGACCATTTACATTAGATATTTCAACATGCTATTAAACTGTTGTCAGTCAAGTTGTCATTTAAAATCCGAACATCATTGGTAATGTTATTGTTTTAATGATTATGCAAACAAAAAGTCATTTTGTTTGTTGATTTTTAAATATAAAACTTGGTGAAGTGATTTATGTGTTGGTACTTTTTTAACATCTCCAGCACATGTTAACAATACCGTAATAATACTGATAACCGTGATAATTTTGGTCACTATAATCGTGGTAAGAAATTTGCATACTGTTACATCCCTAAGCAGCATTAAGGCCTTAATAATTAGGAACATAAGCATAACAGACAGTCAAAAACCTATGAATGTGCCAAGTAATTTGGTGCTTTAAAAATCAGTAGAAGAACTTTAAAAATCAATCCTTAAATGAACGGGCAATCCATGAAAATGACATAAAACTGATGTAATGTCATCTCCCTTTCTGGACCTGAAGCCTTCTGTAGAATTTTGTATCAACTGAGGTTTATCAATACATATCTTAAACAAGTCAGATTTCAATAGTCAAGGAGAGAGAAAATAAAAGCATGACTGAATCTGTTTCTTTGCATTATTTAGAAAAAAAAAAATCTAAGAAAAATGACCGAAACGACACTGCTGTCTTTGTCTGTAGAGCCAGTATACAGAGCCAGCTTGCTATTCTTTTCCTCTCACAATTTGAACCATCAATAATAATGCCCTTCTGACAATAACAAACCATATTTTATTTCTTTGTGAAATTCTATATATCATATAAGCAGGCATGATCAAATAATATGAAGGTTGGTGACAATAAATTCTTACCACAGTATATTCACCACTGCGAAGGCAGGGGAATGAGAAAGTGCCATCCTCACGAGATTGGGAACTGCACAAATACACAAGGGAGGGGTCGCCAACTAAAGCCCCATCCACAGGAGCCACATTGCAGCCATTGATATCCTGAATAAATCATCAATTAGTTTAAAGTCTACTGGATGACAGATCATGAGTTTGTGAACATTAGAAGACATTATCAAATTATGGAATGGCTTTCATTCAAAGTTATTTTGTGTGGACCATGTTTTTGTGGTCAGGCTATGAATCTAATAAAACCTTTTACCTCCTGTGTTACACTGGCAGAGTAAAGGAGGAAGCTGACTCCTTTCATGGGTTCACCATCACTCTGCACCTCTCCAGAGACATCATAGCCCTTTACCACAAGAGGAACTGCGGCGGGGGCATTTTCATTTGACACAACCACAGTGGTTGAGCTCTGTGAGGGAACAAATAGTGAACCAAGTTTTCTTAGAAAATAAACCTGCATTTACATATAAATGAAATGCTTTGACATAAATGTAATGTATGAACAAACATAACTGTAGTGGCATGAACATCTTTCTTCAGGTGTTGACACATTCGTCACTGAGAAATATGTTTTGTCAACAAGACAGTTTGTACTATATACCTGCTCCATGGTCCATGAGGCATGGGAGGCGGTGATGTCATAACTTCCTGGAAGCACTTTGAGGAAAGCATACCTGTGAAAAAGCAACACAAACAGGGTAAGATGTTTTTATGTATATTTGTTAAATGGTATTTATGGACACTGAATATTATTTTGATGTGAATAGTTAAAGACAGACCCTTAGGGTAAGATGACCCCCTCAAAATAGGGCAGAAGGCGTCCAGTTGGGTATTGTTGCTGGTGTTTTTATTGTTTAATTTAATAATTATTATAATTCATGGACATTTTAATTTAATAATTTCAGGAATAGTTGCAAATTAAAAAAATACTATTCCATAATGTTACTCAAAAAATATACCTATAGGCCAATGGAGTAATGCCATTCAATCTGAATTCATAGTCATAGAATTCATAATTCATAGAATTATATAGTGTCATTCAGATCTCTTTGACTGTGATTATTTATTTGATTGGTCATTTTTCAATTATATACAAAATAGAATATTTGACTTAATATTTTGCATGACAATTAAAAAAAATTAAAAACATAATATGTGACCCTCAGTGTTGGGAAGGTTACTTTGGAAATGTAATAGGTTACAGATTACAAGTTACCCTATTTAAAATGTAATAGTAGTGTAACTTTTTCAATTACTTTGTTAAAGTAATGTAACTGATTACTTTTGATTACTTTTCTAAATTTCTAATGAATGTTTATTTGCAACTGTAACACAGAAAAGTGTTCCAGACACTTCAAATTCATACATATGCTTGAGAACTTGACACATGACCAATAGAGGATCTACACATTACAGATTGACCTCTTGTTGAATTTAGTTGTTAAAAAATGACTCAGCATTGTGTGATGTTGCAATGCTGCTGCAGTCAGTTGTAGTATCTGAAGTCTAGCTTGACCACCACACAATATCTACTCACTGGCCTCCAGCTTGCGTGAGGACACTCTGAAGGACATCATCTCCTGCTTTTCTCAAACTTACTTCAACCCCTGCAGGCCCCAATAAATGCCCTTTACTCAAGACCTAAATGAGGGAAGAAAATTATCAGATTTTTTATATTTTTTTTTTACCTTACCAAAAACTGAGTTAATAAGTCAGGTGGATAAAATTTCAACGTACAGTTCCCAGGACTGAAAACCCCGTAAAAACAAAGTTGATGTCTTGTTCTTTAGTGCAGATGTCTGTAATTCCATCCACATGTAGTTCCACAGTTGTTGGTTCTGCATACAGATAATGTACAGCACAATACGTGACAGGTAAAAAAAATAAAAATACCATGATATAAATTTTTGGTCATACCGACCAGCACTAATTTAAATGCAGGAATCCAGGAAGTTTATGGAGATGAAAAGAGCAGCAAAACAACTAGAAACATTTATATTAGTTTTTATAGCCTTTAATCTGTGCATTGTTTGGCGGAGAACCCTTGGATGGATAGGATAAACATGTTCTGTCAATTAAGAACAGAATATAAAATAATGCCTTTATCTGATTAATTGATTTATCAAAGAAATAATGTACAGATTAACTGATTATCAAAATAGTTTTAGTTGCAATCACAGAGTCTAGCCTTTGTTCATAAGGCCTACTTTTTAAGATTAATTTGAAACAACTATAAATAAGACATATGAAAAAAAGATTATATGGCAGTGATGGAAGTAATGTTAAATATAAAAAGTGGAGTAGATTAGTAAAAGTAGAAAAACAGTAAAATAGAAAACAGAATTCACTCTCCCCATAATTTGCTTATACTGATGTTGTAGATATCATTTTGCACAAGTTCACTGTAAATTAAGCCTGTTCTTCACCATTTGATTGCCATTAATGTGAGATTATACTTTTACAGAAGGTCATTTTGCTTAGTTCTTTACCCTGAAAGAACAGGAAACATTCATATTGGATGCATTATTATTTCAAGGCTTAAAATCGTAAAAGATGCCAGTGTATATCATTTTCCTCTATACTGTGCAGCCCCTACTACAAGTGAAGCTACCTAGTGGTGAAAGGTCTTCATAAAAAACACTTCCTTATGATTCAGAACACAAATGCTTCAAGACATTCTAAAATGACCTTGGATGTCTGACAGCCCATGCACTCCTGGGTTACAGTACCTTGTCATAGAGAGGGATCATGAAGTAACCATTGATTGGTGCACAGTCAGTCTGATATTTCAGAGAGCCCTGCTTAGTGTACAGCTTGATCTGTAAAGAACACACACATAGTAAAAGATGGTCATCATAAACTCATTTTAAACTAATTTTGTTTTTGACAATGTTATCGTATTAACATATCTCAGTGAATTATCACTAAATATAACATGTAGAGTATTTGATCTTAAAAATAACAAAATAAAACTATAATAATGTGCGTATGTACATTATTACACGTATGTAACAGCGTAATTATACTATGAACTACACGGATTGCTCGTCTAACTGTAAGCAATTAATTCAGATAGTTTCAGTGATTAATTTGAGTGAGGCAATGCTAATTAACCCAGGCAGATCTGTGATAATAACAACATTAAGCATGCTTGAACAAATCATGTGTTTTGCTGACAATGCTGGACAGTTGGTTAGGGGGTAGCTGTCATGCAACCTGCTACATTCACGACAGACCGATCAACAAATCGTGCGATCTACAACCTAAACCGAAAACTGTTTAGGACGGCAGATGATGTATATATCAGAGTATCAGTTCAGTTCCGGAACGTCATGCGCTAGCTAGCCAGCTAATCATTTTAAACCAGAACTCTCAAGTCTTCTTACCTCAACGACAGAGTAATTAATTTCCACATCTGACTTGACAAAACCCCCGCAGCCTACCAAAATGTCATCAGTGCCATTCACAAATACCACATACAAAAAAGATAGAATAAGAATCGCTAGCTCCTTAATTCCACCCATCGTTCAGCGCTGGTGTAGCGTACTACTACTGACGTACGGCGCACATACATGGTTCAGATGACTTCAGCCAATCATTCTGATGGCAAATCATCTTTAGTTCATTCCTATTGGTCAGTCACGACCAGTGTCTATATTCTGTGTTTTCATTGGCTGTTTCAGGAGAGGAACTCGAAAAAGGTTAATTAAACATTAGAACGATTTTTTTTTTTAGAGCTTGCCCTATGGCTTTGCCTTTGTTTCCATTCTCATATGGAATTGAATGGTTAACGTTAGACAATATTTCTCAGACAAATCGCATGATATCTTAAAACTAATAATAAAGTGAATGATTATATCCTGATAAATGCTATTTTGTTCATTGGGAAAAGCCGGGAAATTCCTTACATTTTCTTTGAGTTAAATTTTAATTTGCTATATGAACTCTGTGGAAGTATTTCACAAAAATATTTGATACAGAGATATGGCGAGGGCTGCAATTTCACCGTTTGCATATTAAACCAGTGAAAGCGCTTCACGCAAATTGTCATCATTAAAAATTCAATTATAAATATTCTCATTTAAAAAAAAGAAGTTCCCTTTGCTTTACAAATTAACATATACAAATTCAGTTGGAAATTCAATTTTGCAATTGCAGGAAAGCAGTAGAGTGCCGAGCCAAAATCTCCACCTGCTGCTACAAACATCAACAGTAGGTGGTGCAATTG